AAAAAAAAAAAAAAAAAAAAAAAAAACTTCCGGAAAAAAATATGTTGTGTAGAATTGCAATACAAACGACTTTTGGCTGGGGGTCACATTAGAATTCCTCACGGAATCGGAGCTAAAAAAGAAACTAACAGAATCACACTAAGGCACGGTAGGCACCCCCCTTTAAACCCGTTTAGCCCATTTAAATCAATTTATACCCTCCCCGCGCCCCCCCTTTAAACTCACAGAAAAAGAAATGAGCCCGGATTTGGGGTCCTCTGGGAGAGCTGTGAGGAATGTGTCGTCAGGGGCCCCTAGACAACATGCATATGTTCTGACTGTGGCCCCCAGCAAGCCTCGTGCCCGCCCTAAGTGAAGGCGGGCCTGAATATTCACGAGAGGCTGAGTGGGGATCCGGGCCGCCCGGGTGACCGGCAGAGGCCCGGGGGAGGTCCCGGGCGGCCTGGCCGGGCAGGGCACCCGGTTGGGGGCCGGGCCCCCCCAGCGCACTTACCTGTCGGGGGATTTCGGACCCCCTTAGTGTGTGTGTGTGTGTGTGTGTGTGTGTGTGTGTGTGTGTGTGTAGTGTGCGTGTGTGTGTGTGTGTGTGTGTGAGAGAGAGAGAGAGAGAGAGAGAGATTCGAATCATACTTGCAGCGCATCTCATGGGCGGGGTGCCGCATGCGCATGCAGGCACGCACGAGTGATGCGCCGCATTAAAAAAGTAGAAAACAAAAGTGTCCTCGTTGTGTCCAGCCTCTTTTCGGAAGGATCCCTACAGCATATTAGCCAGGACCCGACGTCATGCAGAGATACCCTTCAAACTTGTCCTCCCTGAGGGTGGGCAGAGAATATATAGTCTGGATTCGAATTCAGGTCTGTGCATGTCGGTTATGGGTCACTATTTCTCTGTTTTCTCGCTTTTCTTTTCTTTTCTCGTTTTTCTTTTCTTAGGAATACGTGCAGTGGCCCTAAGGGCCTTTACTCACCAAACGCACAAAAGACAAAACATATGGTGGCGTATTACTCCACGTTCTGCAGAAGATTCATTCTAATTTTGCACATTTCGTGAGTAGTGCAGCCAAGCCCTAAGAGTCGCGTGCAGAGACCAACAGGGCCTAGCTACGTGAGCAACCCATAACGACTGAAACACAGACCTGAATTCGAATCTTGAGTATATATTCGGCCAGCTCGTGCTCTATTTAATATTCACTGCCTGCCTCGATTCTGGGGGGGGGGGGTCTGCGCTACATGTCTGCAAGGATCCTTCAGACAGCCTGCATGGGCCGTCTGAGCCGTGTTAAGGGGATCCGTTCTCTCTCTCTCTCTCTCTCTCTCTCTCTCTCTCTCCCCCCCTTGTATACACACACACTCCTTCCAAAAAAAAAAAAACAAAAAAAAAAA